CGGTTAAGGCGAAAGATTAGAAATCTTTTGGGATTTTCCCGCGCAGGTTCGAGTCCTGCTGGTGTCGTTACTTTTTTGAACCAATACTTTTTGTTGGCCTATATGATAGGTGCTTTGCTAATGCTATGTACCTTGACAATCCATAGCGTGCGCCAATATCACTACCTTGACAGTCTCATAGAGACAAACTCTTTTGAAATCTTATGTCTTTGAGTTCGGTGCCATAGAACATTTGGACACATAACGCGCGCTGATACCGCTACCTTGACAGTCTCATAGAGACAAACGCCTTTGGAATATCATGTCTTCTTTGTATGCCATTTTGTTATACAATTTATTTGAGTCGAGCAAGACATTTTCATTTTATGTAGAGATAGTAAACTAATCATTGAAGATCATATTTAATTTAATATATTTATCTCAACAAAATCTGATAAGTAATATATTCAATAGGTCTCAAGATTTCCAGCATTTGTTGGTCCTAATTTTTTTACGAAATCAGTCTGTATGTGAAGTAAATCGTTCAAAATTAGAATTTCAATTTTCAATTTTATTTGCAGGGAGGGAAAGTAAGTAAATATTCAACAGGCTGTGATTCTAAGTTAACTATCGATCAAGTAAGTACAATGGTTATTTAAAAATCTTAACCACCGCTTGAATACTCTTCTTGTTGCCAGTGAGAAGATTGTGGCTAAATTTTGGGAAGACTTCTTTTTTTTGTATCTGTGCCCAGACTCGCGGAAAGTGCTTCCACTCACCAGGTGATTGGTCGTATTTGGTTTTACCGGCTGTACGGGCAGCTATGGTTCCCTTCTGTAGCCCCCACTTTTCCTATTTTCTTTTCTGACTATCTTGAAATAGAGCACAAGGGCACTGTTTCTAGTCAAATTTTATAAACCTCTTGAGAATAGAGAGAAAATCAGTTTATTGTCCTTACATCAAGTGGTTACAAATAAATTATATAACAAAATGACATACAAAGAAGACATGTGATTTCAAAGGCGTTTGTCTCTATGAGACTCTCTTGAGACTAGTGGCAAGTTTTGCAAATTTTCAAAGTTCTCTGACATTGGCCTTTTTTTAAGGCACTTTATTGTCCTACAAAAAAATGAAGTACTTCAAACATTCAGACGTTACTTAAGCAAATATTGAGTGGTGTTCAAAAAAAAGTAATGCTCCGTGGGAGGCTCGAACTCTCGACCTTCAGATTACAATTGTAATATGAGACTGACGCTCTACCGACTGAGCTAACGAAGCATCAACTTATTTGTAAATTTATCATGAACATCACAACAATAATAATCAAAACATTTTAAAATTGAACTGATACAAGGACATTTAATTTTTTTAGAGAATACATTGTCAAGAAATCTATAAAAGTGAGAGATTCATATGGAATCATATCATGACTTGGTGGGATGAAGAAATGAATATCTGGGTAATTAGAAGCCTGACTCGCTAACTACAGCAAAAATGTCCTCACTGATTTTCTATCTAAAAAATCAGGTTTCCTTTAGCACATGGAGATATTCATAAAGAATTCGGCGCCATCGAATGTTTGAACTCATAACACGCGCTGACACCACCACCTTGACAGTCTCATAGAGACAAACGCCTTTGAAATCACATAGCACATGGATATTTTCATGGAAAATTCGGCGCCATCGAACGTCTGAACTCATTGCGCGCGCTGACACCGCTACTTTGCCAGTCTCATAGAGACAAATGTTTTTGGAAATTTCATGTCTTCTTTGTATGTCATTCTGTTTTGTAATTTTGTATGTAACTATTTGATGTAAGGACAATAAACTGATTATCTATCTATCTATCTAT